AAGGAGAGAGAAAAAGGAAGAGTATTTGAAAAAATAATGCTGAGTGATTGGATCCCAAGCTATAAAGTAAATGTTGAAGTTACAGAGGGGTTAGCTTCTTTGATCATATTCCTCTCACTCTCCCCTATACCTAAATCATTTAAGAGAGTGGAAAAGTTAAAGACTACCTTAAACAAAAGGACAACACAGTGAAAAGAAAACCTGTTTCTTTCATTTATCAACATATTTTTCTCTTCCTTTGCATACTAGAGAGTTCCATTATTGCACATGGCTAACCATTATTTAAAAAAGCTTCTATCTTATTACAGACTTTTTGCTGAATTTTCTCTCACCTAAAACCAAATGTCCTGATTAATAAAGGCTATCAATGTCTAATGGATGGTGTGAACCCACTAGAAAAACAAATACCTGAATAATGCCTGATAAATTACTATTAGGAATTTTACCCTACTATATGGTAATTGAGGAGAAGAAATATGTTTGGCAGTATCATTCAGTAGGGCTACAAAGTCAATAGTGAATCATGGCATATGTAAGAGTATATCTAGAGTACAAAAGTATATCTAGATCAGTGATTTTTAACTGGCGTGCTGTGAAACGATCTTAGATGTGCTGCAAAAAACAATTTTTTAAAATATATACCTCATTTTGTTTACTTAATTATTGTGTTAAGACATTTATACTCTATATTAATAGATCCGACATGTACTCTTGCATTATGCACCATAGGTGTGATCCCACCATTCATCCTCCCTCAACCTGACCCCACCTTCCATGAAAGTGTGAGTGATTATAAATTGGTTTCATAATAGTACTGAGTACACTGGGTATTTTTTCTTCCATTCTTGAGATACTTTACTAAGTAGGATGTGTTCCAGCTCCATCTATGTAAACGTAAAAGAGGTAAAGATCACTAATTAAATTATTTTTAAATTATTTTCAGAAGAAGCTCAAAGCATAATAAGTATATTCTTTTTTAACTTTTTTTCTATCAACATAATTCAAGTGTGCTGTGGAAGTTTAACTATAGGTTCAAGTGTGGCATGATGTTGAAAAAATGGTTGAAAAACACTGATCTAGAGAAACTTCAGGAAAACACAAATTGGAGAATACCCCATTGCTATGATTTAGGTATGTTTTGTTTGGGCCTGCCAAGCCTCATGTTGAAATCTGATTTCCAGTGTTGGAGATGGAGCCTGGTGGGAAGTGACTGCATAGTGGAGATCCCTCAGGATTGGTCTGATACCATTCTCACAGGAATGACTGAGTTCTCACCCTTGGTTCCCATGAGAACTGGTTATTGAAATGAGCCTGGCACCTCCTTCACTATCTTACTTCCTCTTTAGCCATGTGATCTACACATGGGCTCCTCTTCCCTTTCCATTATGAGCAGAGGTTTTCTGAGCCTCTCATCAGAAGTAGATGTTGGCACCATGCTTCCTGTACACCATGTCGAATTATGAGCCAAACATACTTCTTTACAGCAACACAAATAGACTAAGACACCCCTCTTGTACAAAAGTGGATGGCTAAGTTCACTAACTAGTGAAGTAACCTTAAATACTACTCAATAACCTCCTAGCAAGTGCATTTAAATACATGCCAGGCACTTTAGGTACATTATATCTCACTGAATTAATCTTAGGAACTTCGTATTATTGCCATTACCAAAAAATCTTAAAGTTTGTGTTATTCATAAATAGTTGAAAGGTCTATTATATACTATATTGACTATAAATAGGTTTTTCTCAAAAAAAAAATCACATGAGTAAAAAATAAGGGAAACAGACAACAGAAACACAATTATGACAGAGACATTATATAAATACAGACTTACAATGTTCAAGAGATAAAACACCGAAATTTTGGTGAAGAACAAAATTGGAAAAAAAAGAAACAAATAGTGTCTAACTGCAGATTGTTTTTAAGCTGAAAGGGGAAAATCAGTATCCACATAGCAAATTGAGGACATCAAAATGAAAGTAACTAATGAGTGACAGATGGACACTATGCACCTCCACCTCTGAAACCTCAAGAAAAAAGCAACATACACTGTGTAGCACTCAGCTAATTGTGGAAAATATCAAACAAACCCCCAAATTGAGACCATTCTGTTTTTTAAGAGAGAGAAATTTATTCCTTGAAAGTATCTAGAAGGCTGAAAAACTGTTTTAAATTAAATGAGATTAGAAAAGACACAACAATTAAGGTAATATCTTATCCTGGACTAGATACTGAAAAGGAAGACTAGCAATTCTACAAAGGACATTACTGTGTAAATGAACTAAATTGGAAAATAGATGCTAGATTGGATAAAAGTACTGTATCAATGTTAAATTGCCTGAAGATAACTGGACTGGGATTATGGAAAAGAATTTGCTTTATCCACAAAAAATATACATCAAACCATTTAGGAGTAAAAAGGCATGATGTATTTAACTTACTCTCAAAATGACTTTTTAAAAAGTGAGAGGCATTTAGAGAGGGAGAAGGGAGAGCCATTTATGTATGGACAGAAAACAGATGATAAAGCAAATGCAGCAAAACTAAGTAATAATATAAAGTTATGTGGAGCTCTTTACTATTGTTACAACCTTTCACTAAGTCTAACATTATTTCCAAATTAAAAAAAAAAAAAGAACAAATGGAAGTTCTAGAACTAGAAAAAAGTATACAAAAACTAAAATTAAGAACTAAATACAGTTAATAGTGGATTAGTAATAGCAATGTCTTGTGGAGTTTAAAATAAAAATAGATAAAAAGAGGGCAGTGCCTGTGGCACAAAGGAGGAGGGTGCTGGGCCCCATATACCACAGGTGGTGGGTTCAAACCCAACCTTGGGCAAAAACTGCAAAAAAAAAAAAGATGAAAAGAATCTAAAGCTCTTACAATGCCCAAGAAGAAGGTAAAAATACAATTAATATCAAAGTTTGATAAACTAAGGATTAATGTTTTAATCTTTTGGGTAACCACTGAAAAAAATCACATCAAGTTATTAGGGGTAAATAAGAAATAACAAAAAATGTTTTGATCCATGCAAAAGAAAAAGCAGCACAGAACTGGTTAGGACAAATAGAAAGTGCACAGCCGTGTATTATATTTAAAATCAAATACACTAATGACTGAATTAACATAGATGAAAGTATTTTTTAAGAGGAAAACTCTTGTCTGAATGAATAAAAATAAAACTCAACTATATGTTATTCACAGATAGAAATACTGATAGTAAAAGTATGAAATAAATTACACTTTGCGAGCACTAATTAAAAGAAAGCTGCAGTAGATATACTAATATGAGACAAAGTTGGCTTTCAAAAAAAGGTACTATTAGAAATACAGAGGGACATTTCACAACGATAAAAGTCAACTCACCAGGAAAATATAACAATCCTAAATGTGAATGTTTAATACCTAAGTAAGATGGCTTCCAAATATAGCAGAACCTCTGCAAGTTGACCACCCAAGAGACCATAACAAACTGGTCAACATATGTTGACCACCCAAGAGACCATAACAAACTGGTCAACATATAAAGGCAGTCAAGGTAAGGAACCAGAACTACTGTACCGATAACATACATGTGATGCATGTCTATGAAAATTAGGTCAACTGAAGGAAGTGAGCAATGTAGGGAGATGGTCAATTACAAAGGTTGGTTCTAGTATATATAAAGTAAAAGCTGTTAGGAACCACCAGGAGAAATAGATAAATCCCCAATTACACACAGGTAGTATTTTATCACACCTTTCTCAGCAAATAATTTTTTTTTTTTGTAGAGACAGAGTCTCACTTTATCACCCTCAGTAGAGTGCTGTGACATCACACAGCTCACAGCAACCTCCAACTCCTGGGCTTAGGCAATTCTCTTGCCTCAGCCTCCCGAGTAGCTGGGATTACAGGCACCTGCCAAAACACCTAGCTATTTTTTTGCTGCAGTTTGGCCAGGGCCAGGTTTGAACACGCCACCCTCAGTATATGGGACTGGCACCCTACCCACTGAGCCACAGGCACCACCTGACAGCAAATACTTTTTTTAAAATAAGAATATGAAATATTTGAGGACCATCATTAACAAAACTGACATACAGTGCACCAAATAACTACAAGATTAACATTATTTTCAGGCACATCTAAACATCCACCAAAACTGACTATATAAAGAACTGTAAAGCAAATCTCAAAAGAAAAAAATAATACAAAATAGATCCTCTGATAATAGTATAATTAAGCTAGAATTCAAAAATAATAAGTGTGACATAATAAGAATATACACCATAGAACCTCCATAGTTGATCACCTCCCTACACTGACCTCCTCCCTAAGGTGACCTAATTTTCATAGACCAGACATGTACCACTACATGTACACATTAGTATAGAAGGCCTAGTTCCTTGTGTTGACCAGTTTGTTACTGTTTCTTGGTCAAAAAACATTTTAACACATTACTCTTCAATATTTTCTACAAAAAATGTATATATAGTTTTATTTACTTTAAAACCTAAAATTATCTCCTTGTTTTAAAATTTAACCAAAAAACCCACACTTCAGAAACTTTATTTTAATGTTTAATGTTTATTTTCATGTTCTATATAAAGCTTTGGGGCTCAACTGTTCTTATTTTTACAGGTTCCCTCATAAGAGAGTGCCTAGGGCTTTTAATACTTAAAGAAGTATTCGTTTATTCAAAAAATGAATTTAGATCTGGAAGATTTTTAATAAGTACATGAAGAGATACATTACTCTCATAAATTACAAATAAATTTTTCCTTCACAAACTTTCCCTTTACCTGAATGTTCCTGCTAAATATTCAAGTGCTCCTGTCTCTCAGTAAAGATGACTGCTTATAGAAATGTAAATTTTCTTTTTCTCTAAGTTAAATAAACCATTTAATAATAACTTAAAGTATTATAGCATTGATTCAAATCCCTAAAAGAACTTCTATTTCTAAAATATCACACATAATAAACATAGCATAAATAAATGTAGCACAGTCACTTACCACTTGATCTGTTTTTACGACTTGATTTCCCACCAGTAAGAAGCATCTTGAGACTATTCCGAAACATGGTTATGCTATTCTAGCACACAACTCTATAAGAAAATAAAGGAAAATATTTTTAAGAAAACTTGATTTTCTATCCAAAACACTACTAAGAATTTAAAATACACCACAAAGAATTGTTTAAATATATAGTATGAAATTATACCTATATGATAAAAAGTTCATTAAGCATTCAAATAGTTCCTTAAAAGTATATTATAATATTTTAACTATGCTAAGAAATAAAGGTAGATATTACTAAGGATACACAGAAATAGAAAATATTATTAGGTAGCCATACATATAATACAGTCCACCTTTCATGTGACTATTATTTAAATAATATTCCCATATTCCTCACATATACACAAAGATTCTAGAAATGTATAGCACCTGCAGATTTTCCACTGGTCAAGCCATTTCACAGCACTACTGATAGACAAGAATTAGTGTCTATCCTCTCTGTGTCTCACTTCTATCAAAGAAACTCTTCTGCAGTACTCTGGATTAGATTCTCTTTCACCTTCTCAGAGACCTTTATCAAAAATCATCTTGTTTTTCTCTTTAATTCCAAACTTTAATTTTTCTCTCCATTGAATCATTTCAATCATAACATTAACGTATTTTAGAATGCCCTGTCCATTTACAAACAAAGCCCTCCTCCGTTACTACCTCATGGTTCAATTATTGCTCCTATATCTTCACTCTTCTTCAAAGCAAAATTGCCCCAAAATGCTGTTAGTACTTGGTGTGTCCATCAGATTGAATACAGTGAATACGAAGTGGAACACAGTTCAACATAAAATATCTAAACCAAGGTACAGAGAAAGTTGAAAATACAGGAAAGAGTATTAGATGAATATGGAACCTACTAAAAAGTTCTGACATATGTATTCTTGGAATGTCAAAAGAATGCAAACACCAGGAAGAAGAAATATTCAAAGAGATACAAATGAAAAATTTTTTACAATACTGAGAAACATGAAGACATTTTTTCTTATTTTTTTTGTCTGAGACAGTGTCTCACTCTATTGACCAGGTTAGAGTGCCCAAGCATCAGTCTAGCTCACAAAAACTTGAAACTCCTGGTTTTAAGCAATCCACCAGTCTCAGCCTCCTGAGTAGCTGTGGCTACAGGCACCCACAACAACACCTGGCTAATTTTTTTTTTTTTTAGTAGAGATAGGGTCTCACTTTTGCTCAGGCTAGTCTTGAACTCCTGAGCTCAAATAACCCTCCTGCCTTGGCCTCCCAGAGTGTTAGGAATACAGGCATGAGCCACAGTGCCCAGCCATGAAGCCACATCTTAAGCTTGTCAAACATGAAAAAATAAATACAAAGAAAAACACTAAACAAGTCATAAACAAAATGCTAAAAACCAAAGACAAAGAAAATCTTTAAAACAGCTAGACAACAAAATAAACACATTTAACATAGAATGATCAACTGGGAGAAGAATCCCATCATCTCCCAATGTCACCCTACACACAGTGCTTACTACAGAAAAATCCCAGAGTGCTCATAACCCTTAGGCCTACTTTAAAGAGCTGCTAGAAATTCATGTAGCTCCAATGCCCCCAAATCAGGAGCACAAAGTATGCACTCCCTACTCCAACCCCATGAGCCAAGCTGATGCCTCATGACACCATCTTGAGACAAGTACCATCTCTGGAGTACACCCTGCCTCTGGGGGCCAATAGCCACTGCACCTATTCAGCACTTGGGCTCCATCTTTATTCTACCATGCCCACACCAGTGGATGAACACCACAACCAAACAGCACAGAGCCTGGGCCCAGATCAGCCGCGACTCTAGTCCTGAACAACAGGGAAACAAACTCCCACCATTTTCATTTCTAACCAGAGAACAGTCTGCCATTCCTACCTAGGGTGAACCCACCACCTATGGATCAGCCAAACTGCTGCATACCATATCCCAAGCAGGAGAGATCCTCAAGCGTCTGGGCAGCTGGCATACTCCCAGGAGGTAGAATAGCTGTGCACCCACACCCAAGACCTGAAAAACAATCCAGTGATAGATATCCCACAACCTGCAGACAGTCCCTACTCCACCCAACAGCCTGGTACCCACAATCAAGGCCTCAGAAACAGCTGTTTGGGGCACCTCTGGAAGACACATCACTAAGTTGGCTAAGCACCTCCAAAGCTCCCAACCCAGGCCTAAAAAGCACCCCAGTGAGATACTCTTAGCAGATGTGTCTTGTGCACTGTGTGAACAAGCTTGCACCCATGTCTCAGGCCTGAGAAAGAGCCCTATGGGCCACTCCCAGGTGGTTGAGCAGCTTTGTACCCCTCTCCTGGGCCTGAGAAGCAGCCACATAGGCTACCCTCAGCGGACATGCCCCCATATCAGCCAAGAAGCCATATGGCTACATTCTGGCTATGTCCCAGCCCCCAGCAGACATACCTCTAGGCCAGCTGAGCATACCTTTTCCCAGGTCTGAGAAAAAGGTCCACAGGGTGTCCTTGAGAAACATCCTCCTATGTAGCCTAGTAGCCTTGCACTTGCAGCTCATGCCTTAGAAACAAGACCCATGGGCCACCCCAACCAGACACATACTCAGGCCAACTGAAAAGCTATGAGACCATGTTCAGGCCTGAGAAACAGGCCTACAGGCTTCTTCTGAAGGCATGCACTCAAACTAGATGAAGAACCGGTTGCACATGCTCCTGGCAAGAGGGACAGCCCGAAGGTGCACACAAGCCCCTTTGACCTGAGAAACAGCCCAACAAACCCAACCCCAGCAAAGCTGCACAATTGCCACCACAAACTCTCTCAGCCTAGCCCACTGAGATACTCTCAAACATCACTAGCATAGATTACTGCTAAAGAAACTACACTACTGGGTCCACCTAGAACCAAAGCTAACATATCCCACCAAACCAATACCCCAATACCTATTCACACTAATCTACAAAGTTGGAAGAGGCAGCTTATCCACCACCTACACAGAAATCAATGTAGGTACACATCAAATATGAAAAAGCAAGGAAATATGACATCTCCAAAGAAACAAAAATTCTCCATCATCAGATTCCTATCATAAGGAAATAAATGGAATCCCAGAAAAATTAAAATAATAATCTTTAAGAAACTCAGTGAAATATATAAGAATAGATGATTCAATGAAAATTAGGAGAACAATTCATGATTTGAATGAGAAATTCAACAAAGAGATATCATAAGAAAGATTCAAACAGAAATCCTCCAGCTGAAGAAGTCAACAAATGAAATAAAAAATAAAACTGAGAGCTTTGATTATAGAGGAGACCAAGAAGAATTCTGAAATTGAAAACAAATCATCTGAAATAAAACAGGAAGGACCCCCCCAAAAAAAGGGGGAGGAAAGAAAAAGAATAAAAAATAATTAAGAAAGCCTACAGGATTTTGGGACACCATGAAAGGAACAAATATTCACATTACAGGCATTCTGGAAGGAGAAGAGAAGGAGGAAAGTGTAGAAAACTTGTTTAATGAAGTAATAGCTGAAAACTTCCAAATCTTAGGAGAGAGATGAACATCCAGGTCCAGGAAGCTCCAGGTACAGATTCAACCCATCCAGGTTCTCTATTAGGAACATTATAGTCAAATTGTCAAAAGTCAAAGACAAGGAAAAAAACAAAGCAGCAAGAGGAAAGTGTGAAGTCACTCACAAGGGAATCTCTATTAGACTACCAGAAGATTTCTTAGTAGAAACCTTACAAACCAGGAGACAATAAGATATATTCAAAGTACTGAAAGAAAATAACCACCAACTGAGAATACTATGCCCAGCAAAGCCATCATTCTTTAATGAAAATCCTTCACAGACAAGCAAAAATACCAATAAACCAGCCTTACAAGACATACTCAAGAGAGTCTTACATCTGGAAATGAAAAGATGATAACCACAATCATGAAAGCATGTGAAACAACTCACTGATACAAGGTCTGACAATTAAGTTTGTGAACTTGGCTACCATGTACTTACACTGGCAGCACCGTACAAACAAGTTGGTAAAGTTTTGTAACATTGGCTTATCAGTGTCTCATAGCTGTGTTCATGTCAATGTGTGACAGTTTCTTGCTGAGTGGCATTCATTATTGTTGTGTGCTTTTGTGTGCCATCGTAAGAGCTTGAACTAAAGCAATAAACATTCATAAATTTCTTGTTAAACTTGTCAGGAGTGGAAGTCAAACCAGGGACATGTTAGCCCAAGTTTATGGAGATAATTCTATGAAGAAAATGGCAGTGTAGAAATGGATTAAACAGTTTTCTGAGGAGAGAAAAAGCATCACTGATGAAGAAAGGTCAGGGTAGTTAGAAATTAGCAGAACTGATGAAAACATCACAAAAATTTGTCAAATTGTATGTCATCATCATGGCTGTGAGAAACATAGCAGATCAAGTAAACATCAACAGATAGACAGTTAAGAAAATCTTGGCCAACAATTCATGGCTCTTGCATCATAACAATGCATCAGCTTATATAACATTGCTTGGAAGGGAGTTTTTTGCCAGAAAACAAATAACTGTATTAGAACATCTTCCCTTACTCACCTGACCTCACATTTTTCTTTACTGAAAGATAAGGGAAATGCTAAAAGGAAAATATTTTGATGACATTCAGGACATCAAGGATAATACTATGACAGTTTTGATGGCCACTGCAAAATTGCTTTGAAGAGCAGACTAGGTGCATAGCTTCCCAAGCAGAATGCTTTCAAAGTGACTTAGTGATATTCAGCAATAAGATATGTATCACTTGTTTTACAGTGAATTCACAAACTTAAGTGTCAGAGTCGTATAGCTGATACACAAAGGAAAAGAAAGGATTCAAATATTATCACTGCAGAAAACCATCCAACCATAAAAGTAAATAATAAGAGAGGAAGTAAGGAACAAAGGATATACAAAAGAACTAGAAAATAATAAAATGAGGAGTCCTCACATATTAACAATAACCCTGAATGTAAATGGATTACACTTCCATTTAAAAGACAAAGACTTCTTAAATAGATTTTTCTTTTTAAAGACCAAAGTATATGT